TGAACAAGTTGTCTTTGCCAGAACTTTATCAGGAAACTCTCCCACCCGAAGACTAGAAAAATTTTTCCATGATGGGGTTGGGGGAGACTACAAGTGTATGGGCTAGAAATGGAAGGAGTTTACCTGTCAGGTTCCTGCTAAACCTCACGAGTGGGGACACGCAGCAGACCTGTTAGTGGTCAGTGATGCATGTAAGAACCTCCTGGGAGGAGCTTTATAAGAATGAGTATACAAGCTATTGGGACAATGGCATGTCTATGTGCAAAAATAAGCTCAATGGTACCTCATGTGATATAAAAAAACTCAACTAAAAATGGGTCAGAAACTTAAATATAAGCTAAAATTATGAAAATCAGAAAAAACTGGGTTATATCTTTATGACAAATTTCTCGACAAATTCTTAGATATGACACAGAAGAACAAATGATGGAAGCAAAAATAGATAAATTGGACTTCATTAACATTAAAAACTTGTGTAACAAAGGACATTATCAAGGAAGTGAAAAGACAACCAGCAGATTGGGAGGAAATATTTGTAAGAGTAAGATCATATGTCTGAAAAGGGTCAAGTGTATAGAATTTATAAACAACTCTTACATCTCAAAATAAAAAGACAACCTTATTTGAAGTTGGCAAAGGGGTTGAACAGACGTTTCTCCAAAGAAGATATGCGGATGGCCAATAAGCATCTGAAAATATGCTCCACGCCCCAAGTCACTAGAGAAGCGTCAGTCAAAACCACAGTGGGGTGTGAGGTACCACTTTGCACCTGCTGGGTTGGTGAGAATAAAATAACAACAAACAAAACAGAAAGCAAGTACTGGTAAGGATATGGAGAAACAGGAACTCTTACATGAGGCTGCCGAGCCTGTAAACTAGTCCATCCTCACAGAAACAGTGTAGCTGTTTCTCAGAAAGTTAAACAAGATTACCGTATGATTCAGCAGTTCCACTGCCATGTGTATACCCCAAAGAACTGGAAATGGGGACTCCAACAAATACTTATTACTGGATGTTCAAAGCAACACTATTCACCGTGGCCAAAAGATGGAAACAACCCAAATGGCTGTTAGCAGACAAATGGATGAACAAATTGTGTCCACAGATGTTGGAATATTATTCAACCATATGAAGAATGAAGTATGGATACATGGTCCAACGGGGATGAACCTCAAAAACCTTATGCCAAAAGTGAAAGAAGCTAGGCAAAAGAGTCGAAGTCTTATATTGTATAATTCCACTTATAAGGAATGTGCAGAACAAGTAAATCCATAGAAGCAGAAAGCAGGTTGGTTGCTCTGGGGAGGGAAAATGGCAGTTCATCACTTCATGGGCACAGGGTTTATTTTGGGGAGATGAAAATTCTTTGAAATTATATGAGGGTGAGTCTTACACCGGGTGTTGCTGAGTTTTTTGCTTTAGCTAATTTTGTGTTATGTGAATTTCACCTCAAAAACAGGTTCACTCTCAAGACCAGTTTAACTCAGAGGAACAGGATCAGGCATCAGTTTTTGTTTTTTGTTTTTTAAGTTCTCCAAGCTATAAGAACTTGCAGCTGTGGCTGAGACCTGCAGATCTAGATGGGAAGAAATGTGGCTTTCCGTGTTCCAGGCGTGTCACTTGAGGGGAAGGGCTGCTGCACCCCCAGGGCGTGCTGCCTCACTGATCACCACGGGGACCCTGGCTGCGGCCACCCTGGAAGGCTCCTTCCCCTTCTTATGGCCTGGCTGAGATTCTAGAGTCACACTGTAGCTTGGCAGTTGAAGGGAGCCACCCACCTAGAGGAAAGAGGGTTTGAACTGTAATAAAAGTGATAATTTGAGCAAGCTCAAGTTTGTGGGTTGACCTTAAGTGCTGTATGTCTTTGTACGTCTTATTTCTACACATGCTTCCTTACACGATAAAGTCCTGCAGGGTGTTGCTGAGGGGAATCGAAGTCCGGCTGCCATTCAGTTAACGAGTGTTGAGCGTCTGTTGAATGCTGGACAGACACTGTTTCAAGCACTGGAGTTAAAACAGCTCGCAGATGATCGCCTTTTTACAGTCTAGTGGGCATGCGCCCGGGAACCTTGTCCATGTGCTGAACGCCTGAACACTGTCTGTGTTCAGGTGAAGGAGTCTCTGTCCTAACTTTGCTTTCCCTCTGGTAGATGAGATAACCCCAAGGTTACAGTTTAATTGCCCTGTCAGCCTGTAACCAGCTTGTGACACTTTTGTGTAATAATCTCTGAAACAGCCCTGCAGAGTAAGGTTGGCAAACTTTTGCTAAAGGGCCAAATAGTAAATATTAAAGCCTTCATGGATAAAGAAGCAAAACTGAGGGTATTGGGATGGTACTTACAGAATCCTGTAAAATGTGAACATTTACAAATGTAAAAGCCTTTGTTGGCTCACAGCCCCATGACAAGCAGTGGGCCCTGGAGGGTCTTCTTGCCAGAAAGTGAATATGGCAGCTTAAATAACAGCCTCCAGTCCTACTCTAACCTTGTGTCTTAGAACACATTTGGGCTTCTTGCAGTGGGCCTGGCCGCCACAGGAAAGCAGTTAATAATTCCTTGTTGGGAAGGGCGGGGGGCAGTCCTGCACATGTTACCAGCATCCCTGGACTCTACCCACTAGATGTCAGGAGAGCACCCCTTCCCCCCACCAGCCCCCATTTTTAACAATAGAAACCTGTCTCCAGGCACCCCGCAAATTCCCTATGGCAGAATTCCCTGATGGAATCTTAAGAGATTCAGAGTGCAGGCTTCTGTAAGTCTTTTCCAGAAACTGAAAAATACCATTTTACTTAGTATTTCTTAAAACTTATTTGGCTGTAGATACCGAGCACATATGTTCACATAGTAGCTATTGACATTCCTTGGAATTAGGGTTTTATGAAACACCTTGAAAAGGGCTTCTTGGGTTTCCCTGGTGGCGCAGTCAGTAAAGAGTCTGTTTGCAATGCAGGAGACCCAGGTTCGATCCCTGGGTCAGAAAGATCCCTTGGAAAAGGAAATGGCAACCCACTTCAGTCTTCTTGCCTGGAGAATCCCATGGACAGAGGAGGCTGGCAGGCTACAGTCCAGGGGGTTGCAAGAGTTGGACACGACTGAGCACATAAACCCACCTACCTATCCCTATCTACAAGGATTATGGTGGCGGGTCGCATGGCCGGTGCACAGTACTGCCAAGTGTTACTCAGAGGTGGGCAGCAGATGGCTTTCCTGAAGCAGGTGCAGTGAGGGGCATGGCTCACCTCCCCAAGCGTGCCCTCTTTCAGACCTGGGAACCCCCATCCCTCCTGCGGATGCGTGTGAAAGAGTAGGTGTGCCTGGAGACTGGGCACCTTGATGTTGGGACGGTTTTCATTCTCTCCTCGAGGTGGGGGACGAGGAGGAAGTCATCCTGTCTGTCCTCCTGGGATCCCTGTCCCCCACGCAGCGCCCAGATGCTCTCCCCTAACTGCAAACCGCTTGGGGATACGTTTCTTCTTTTTCTACTTCTGAGGCTGCAACTGGTGTCTTAGAGGCCATATTTCAATGAGGAAAAATGTTGTGGGGTGGTTCCCCTTCCCATCCCAAATGCCAGGAACAGTGTTGAATCTGCTAAGGGGAACACGGCTGAAGGTGTCTGTTAGCAGCATCTTATCCGGCTGAAAGCCTGCACATGGACACACATGCCCACGTGTCTCGGCTGGACTTCATGTGAAGTGTCAGAAGCTGCTTTTCTCCTGTAGATCTTGGGCCCGGGCAGGAAGCGTTGGGTTGACAACTCGTTTCACTATGCACAAATGTACTGTTTCTGCCCTACACAGGGCATCAGAGAAACCAGACGTATCCCCTTGAATATTTATGGTCGCACAGCTTCTTTCATGAATAATTCATCCCACACAGCACTGTCTACCCATCAGCAAGGCTGCCCAGGCGAGGAACAGGAACAGAAAGGCTCGCTCCTCCCCTCGCTGGAAGTCCCAGCGCCTGAAGCAGACAGATGGGGAGCCACACGCCTTGCTTGGATCACCCTGTGACAGATAATAAAACACACTTTGTTGGAATTTTCTACAACAAGCCTTTATTACTTTAATAAATCACGGGGGGCAATCATCAGGAAAAAAGCTGTGCTTTTCCAGCCAGACTTCTAAGAGGAACATTTGGCTTATTTTGCTACTATGGGGCCAAATTCTGTTGCTAAATTACTCTATTTTGAATACTAAGGAAGCTTTCTCTCTCCTAGAAGTGAGCTCTGTCTCTAGCTGAAAAACTCTCAAAATTACACCTTTGTTTTTTATTGTGAATTATAATCACTGCCAGAGTGTTAGAAGATATTTTAAAAGTTAAGATAAAAAGTCACCAGTAATCCTAACACGTGGAGGAAAATATCCTTTATGCCTTGCTCTGTTACTTTCTAGGATGTACAACCTTACATATATAAATGTGTACTTAAAAACAAAAGTAGTGTTAATATACTGTTGGTTCTTACAAATATCATTCAGTAGAAATATATTGTCCTCACTTCCTGTAATTTATACAGACACAGTATAGCAGCTCCATGGCCTTCCATTGTATATATTTTTCTGTGAGGTTTTGTCAGATTCCCTGCTGATAGTCATGTTGCTTCTCCTTTTTCCTGCTGTTAAAATGTTGCCATGTCTTGTGAGGACTTTAGGGAAACGTCTGTGTCCACACAGACGTAACCTTGTCCCGCTTCACTTCAGTGAATGTGGACTCGCAGGTGATAGTGTCTTGATCACTTTACCTAAATTTTACAGTTTCCCCCTGCTGTGAGACGCAGAAGCAGTAAGAAGGGACCACAGGAAAACCATGCCCAGGCCAACTCCCTGTGGGTTTGGTGTCCTGCTCAACGAAGTGGTCGGGAAATTAGTCACATGGTCACTCTGGGGAGCTCAGCCTCTGTGATGGGACTTTTTTGAATTGAGGATGAGAGCACTTTGGATCCTAACCCACAAACACTGGATTTTGATGTTGTAATACGTTTTTCTGGTGCTGATGGCTTTCCAGATTGTCTTCTCAACGACTTGTAACAAAGAGTGTCAGAGCTCTCAGTAACAGACATGAACAGAACAGGGTCACCCAGGCCAGGAAAGGCCTCGGCGTGAACTGCACCGGCCGGCCTGCCCTGCTGCTTCCTGCTGCTGCTGCTCCGGGTCCACCCGCTGTCCCCCGGCGGATGCTGACCTCCTGCGGCCCACTCCAGCCTGGGCTCACCGAGGCCTTCTGAAGACACTGCTTCCCTCCAGTGTTACTGAACTCAGGTCCAGCTGCTTGTCACTCAGAAGCCCATGCTTGAGAGGCAACTGCTGGTAGAAAGGAAAGGTTGCTTTATTTCAGAGGCTGGCAACTGGGGGAGAAGGCAGACTTGTGTCCAAAGACCAGCTCCCCACTTACAATCAGTGGGCAAAAGCTGTTTAAAATTGTGTGTATGTGTGTGTGTATGTGTGTATAGATTTATTTATTTACTTATTTGGCTGTGTCAAGTCTTAGTTGCAGCACCCGGATCTTTGGGCTTCTCTCTAGTTCTTGCATTCGGGCTCCAGCATGCACAGACTCAGTAGCCCTGTGGCATGTGGGATCTTAGTTCCAGGACCAGGGATCAAACCTATGTCCCCTGCATTGAAAAGTGGAGTACCAAGGGCAAAAACTTTTAAAGGGGAGTTTTAGGGGTGCACAAGTGGAGGGATGGGGCTACATATGGAAACAGCACAGGCAGCTCTGATAGTCATCTTGAAATTGATCATAGTGGTTTGATCAATGTCATCTTGATTGTTTTAAGCACAGCTAATCTTCAGTTTAGAGTTGGTTTGTTCCCATTCTTTGAGTCCATTTCTCAGGACTGTGGCAGCTTATGTCATGGCTATAGTCTGGTCATCATGTAGTTAGCTTCTTCCACTTGGAGGGGTTTCAGTATCTACAAGATAGCTCACAAGATACAGCTCAGAATATTATGTATCGCCTTGAGGAGGAACTAAAGGTCCTTGGCTGTTTAATGACTATTAGTTGGTCTTGTTAGGCTAATTTTCCCTTGTTTCTGTATTTTCCCATTTCTCTACTTAAGTTTATTTCTCGACTAAATCTTTTCTGCAGACAAGAGGCAGGCAGAGGACGTGAGGATGTGAGAGAGGCCTCACAGCTCCAATTCACCAATGTGATTCTCTTAAAAATTAGATCATACCACTGCTTCTAGAGTATGCTGGCTGTGTGCCTTCAGACATGGGACTCCTGATGGAGACAAACCCCGACTTATTTTGACATTTTAGAGGCTTGCTCATAAAATAGGTGTCTGAGCAAGTCTTGCCCACCCCTTCCATTCTTTCCCAAAGACTCAACCAAAGAAAAGATCCCCTCTTCCTAGGAAAAATTCATTTTCACCTTTCAGCAGTACTGCAGACAAATGAATAGGGAAACCAAGAAATAGCTTCTGAGGATGTCAGTACTTCTGGGTCAGATTCTCAGCTGGACTTAAGAGCAGGTGCTCAAGCACAAGCACCAGCTTCTCAGAAATGTCTTCTTTTCTGAATAGAAAGCTTTTCATGGCTTCCTGGGAACTCATCTCCAATGTGGCGGTGGAAAGAACAAGTAGAATATTCACATTTGCAAGCATTTGTTAAATAGAATATTCAAGCATTGTTAAAAGAAAACCAAATGGACCTTCAAAAATACTGAGGTAATTTTTCCACCCTCACCAACTGGGAATGAGGGTACTCATAACCATCCCAGCACTGAGCATGGCTCGTTTATGCCAAGATGTTACAATTTTTTCAACTTTCTGATTCTTTTATTGGAGTTTTTCTGGTGGCTCAGATGGTAAAGAGTCTGCCTGCAACACAAGAGATCTGGGTTCGATCCCTGGGTCAGGAAGATCCCCTTGAGAAGGGCATGGCTACCCATTCCAGTATTCTTGCCTGAAGAATTCCATGAACAGAGACGTTTAGCATATTGAATAGTGTTTAACAATATGTTTTACTATTTTTAGTATATAACATAGTATTGGTGATATGTACCTTTTTTGAGCTACTTCCTTATACTCTCAGCTCAGTTTTCTATTCAGATGTTTCTCTGGTATAAGACACTGAACTAATGCAAAACCATGACAATCTAATGTCATTATATATAATGTAATTATATATAATTAAATGAGAAGATAAGGTCACCATGAGTCAAAAACTCAAAACTCAACAAAAAATATTAAGGCATGAAGTGAGCACTGATCAAACACAGAAAAGCTACAGAAGAAAAAGGCAAAGTTAATTCAAAAGTGAATACTCAATTACAGAAATAAACAATGGAAGTGATATATAACCAAAAGCACAATAAGGAACATAATGGAGAAACAAGAAATGCCAAGGAGAAAAAAATGATCAGAGAGTTCATGGTACAGAATACTAGCAAAGAGCATCCAACATACAAATAAGTTGAGTTCCTCAGAAAAATAAAACAATGGAAGACATTATTTAGAATTTAATTCAAGGAAGTTTTTCTGAAAAAAAAAATGAACTGAATATACACATTGAAAGGTCCTCCTACTGTATAGCTGGGAAAATTGAAATATAACCTAGTAAAAGAAATGTTGAAGATGAAAAGAACCGTAGGCCTCCTGGCCAAAAGGAGAATAAAGAAAATTAATTTGGCATCAGACTTCCAACAGCAGCATACATAGGAAGGAAGAGTAGTGTAACTTTTCATGAAAGTTAAGGCAAAATGCAAGCTTTTATTAAAAGGTTACAATGGAACAGTTGAGATGACTGTTCTTCAGGAAGCAAGACATTTAAAGACTTTAAAGATTAATAGTTTAGAAAGTTAATCTGTGGGACAAATTTGCCACCTGTGTGTCATGGGAAATAGATGGGGAGACAGTGGAAACAGTGTCAGACTTTATTTTTTTGGGCTCCAAAATCACTGCAGATGGTGACTGCAGCCATGAAATTAAAAGACGCTTACTCCTTGGAAGGGAAGTTATGACCAACCTAGATAGCATATTAAAAAGCAGAGACATTACTTTGCCAACAAAGGTCCATCTGGTCAAGGCTATAGTTTTTCCAGTGGTCATGTATGGATGTGAGAGTTGGACTATGAAGAAAGCTGAGCGCTGAAAAATTGATGCTTTTGAACTGTGGTGTTGGAGAAGACTCTTGAGAGTCCCTTGGACTGCAAGGAGATACAACCAGTCCATCCTAAAGGAGATCAGTCCTGGGTGTTCATTGGAAGGACTGATGCTGAAACTGAAACTCCAACACTTTGGCCACCTGATGCAAAGAGTTGACTCATTGGAAAAGACCCTGATGCTGGGAGGGATTGGGGGCAGGAGGAGAAGGGACGACAGAGGATGAGATGGTTGGATGGCATCACTGACTCGATGGGCATGAGTCTGAGTAAACTCCAGGAGTTGGTGATGGACAGGGAGGCCTGGCGTGCTGCGATTCATGGGGTCGCAAAGAGTTGGACACGACTGAGCGACTGAACTGAACTGAACTTGTGTAATACACTGGTTAACTTCTTTTTTTTTTTAGCATGATTGGAAAAATATGAAAATAATAACTTAATGACACATGAAAACTATATGAAATCCAGAGTTCAATGTCTATAAGTAGAGTTTTGTTAGAACACGGCCACTCTTACTGACCTCTATGTTGTGTATGACTGCTCTGGTGCCACAGTGGCAGAGTTGATAGTTATTTAACCATGATCTGCAGAGCCTGAAACATGTCCTTCTGGCTCTTTATAGAGAAAGTTTACCAGCACTTGATTTAGAATGAGGACGGTTCTGTTTTAAGTCCAGTGTTGTCTGAGATTATTCGCTGTACCATCTTTCAGAAGGTCTGCAGAAGCTCAGGATCATGGACAGCAAGCTTGGAGTCTCTGTTTGGAAGCATCGTTGGGATGGTTTGGACTTAAAGGAGTAGGGAGGAGCAAGATGCCGCACGGATCGGGGAGCCATCTAGTCCTTTGCATGTTTTGCAGTGTGCGGTCCACTTAAACTTACATGTCTCCGCAGTATACTGAGTACTTGTTTGGGCGACTCAGCCTCTTGAGAGACATGCCCATGGTCTCAGCACGTGTTCCTCTCACCCCCTACTCCCCTGAAAGAAGGCATTCCTGGTGAGGGGTGCGCTCACAGTCTAGGATGTATCCTCTGGATCCACAGTTGTCTTGGTTCTGAAATAGCTAGTCAGGCTTTCTTCCTGGACCATTGACCTCTGACTTGAGATGGTCCCATCTTTCCTCTCGAGATTATGTGCTGAAACCTGGTGCTAACCCCCATCTCAGCCATTTACCTCTTAGTTTACAGTCCCCACCTGTGGCCTCTATCAGTTCATCATCTTTCTGGACACCTGTGTGTTGTCTCAAAACAGCACAACAGGCTGTCCCACCCATCCAGCCACAACTCTGTCACTCATCACTAGTATCGTTGTGGAAGAGAATTCATAATATGCATCTCTTCTCTGTGGGCACCAAGTCTCTATCCCTTTGGCTCCATGTTGGACCTAAGGCTGAGCTCATACCTGATGCTCCAGTGCAAAGATACCAAGGACACTGCTTCCTCAGTCTCCCACATGTTAGCTGAATCTTTCTAAAGCATCTCAGAAAGGGCTGAGAAATAAGGGCTGTGGTGCTTCACCTCACTGCATTACGTCCAAGTCAACTCTTCATAATACCTCCAGTGGGAAAGGCAGGGTTTACACTCCCTACTTTCATTCAAAAAACGTTTGAGAGCTTATTATTGTTCCAGCACTGATATGTCACTAACGTTGTTATGGAAGAGAATCCATAATAATGCATCTCTTCTCTGTGGGCACCAAGTCTCATAGCTTAGCAGCTGTAGACAGGAGAGTTAGCCTCTGGGCTCATGAATTTTATACACCATCTGTTCCCTGATATTTGGCTAAATATTATTCTAGGTGTTTCTGAAGTTTCTTTTACAATTGATTTTTATTTGAGTATAGTTGATGTGCAATGTTGTGTTAGTTTCTGCTATACAGCAAACAGAATCAATTATACATATATGCATACCGCTCTTCTTTAGATTCTTTCCCCATATAGATCATTACAGAGCATGGAATGGAGTCCCCTGCGTTATAAGCTGGCTATTACCTGCTTTACGTACAGCAGTGTGTATATGTCGACCCCAATCTCCCAACTTATCTCTTCTGCCTCCCCTGCTGGGCAGCCATAAGTTTGTTTTCTACATCTGTGACTCTATTTCTGTGTTGTACATAAGTTCAT